TATGACACCATTGTGTTGGACACAAGTGGGGGAGCGTAGCGTAATGGGGCCAGCAGTGGTCGAGGCTACTATAGAAAAGATAAGATTGTTAAAGATCAAGCTGAAAGAGGCTATGGACATGCAGAAAAGTTATGCGGACAAGCGTCGCAGAGATTTGGAGTTCAGTGTGGGTGATATGGTCTATCTGAAGGCACTGACTTATAAGGGAATGGACAAGGCAGCTAAGTATGCCAAGTTGAGTCCGAGGTACATGGGACCGTACCGGATACTGGAGAGAGTTGGCGCAGTTGCTTACAAGTTGGACTTGCCATCAGAAATGGGAGCGTTCCATAATGTATTTCATGTGTCACAGCTAAGGAAGCATATTACCGAACGGGAAACGGTTATAGAGGAGCCGCCAACAGACTTACAAGAGGACCATGCAGTAGTGGCTAGGCCGGTTCGGGTGACTGACATGAAGGAAGAGACTAAGCGTAGGAAGCTGGTCAGAATGGTTCAGGTTGTATGGGACTGCGACGGACAGGAACAAGTTACTTAGGAAAATGAGGCTGGGATGAAAGCTGAGTATCCTAAATGGTTTGACAAGTTGCAGACGGACGAGTCGGATTCGAGGACGAATCTAGAACGGGTGGGGGAGAGTTGTAGCATCCGTATCCGAGAGAATTCGGAATGATCGAGCTGGACAGGGTGTTGTCCGAGGAATGATCGAGCCAAGGTCGGATATTGGCTGGGAAATGGAGGTTCGGACTATGGTCGGGTGATGACCGGGGAAATAGTCGGATGGTTGGCTGGATAGCCGAGCCGGATGGACCATATTCGAGGGAAAAAGGGTCCAGTTTGTGGAAAATGGGATTTATCCCGGTGCAGTGGGATTTATCGGATAGTCTGGGAGGTTAGTCCGAGTGTCAGTGGACTGTCTCCGAGGGAAAGAGGAAAACCTCTGAGAGAAATAGAGGATTAGCCGAGGTGGGACGTGTTGTCCGAGAAAAAAAGGGAATATCCGGGTGAAAAATGGAAAACACCTCGGATAAGGGCGGTTTAGCCGAGTGGGAAGGGATTTGGGCCGTGGGCCAAGTGTTTGGTCGGCTATTTTGAGGGTTTATCGCGTGGATGGTCAGCCGGAAGAGAGAATAGCCGAGAGAATCGAATCGGACCGGGATAAATCCTACTGGAACCAAGAAAACGTCGGTTAAGTCCGAGTTACCTAGGGTTTTGCGAGTATATAAGGCTTTTTGAGACTTAACTCGAGGGTGTTGCGTTTATTTGAGCTAAATAAAGCAAAGAGAGAGTTTAGTCGAGAGAAAACCCTAAGAAAAACAGTTTATCCTGAGGACATCCGAGAGAGATCAGGTTATCGCCGAGCAGATCCGACCATCGCCGAGATAAATTGGTAAGCGATCGGATATTTCCCTAAGTGTTGAGTTTTCATCGGATAACCTCGAGCTAATAACCTTGTTTTGTGGGGTTTCCGAGGGTAAACAGAGTTTGGCTCGGAGAAAGGTGAACGGATCGAGAGATAGCCGAAGGGAAAGGGATCAGATCGTACGGACAGCCGAGAGATTCGAAGGGTGATCGGATATCTTCGTTTCCACGCGGATTTCATCGGGATTTCTTCTGACCAATCTGTTTTCAGCCTTGTTTAAGGTGAGTGCGTGACTGTGGTTGGTGTCTAGGATCGTTGGATTGCTAGGGTTGAATGTTTTACATGTTTGATTGTGTGATTTTCATGTTGTGTGTTTAGAACTGATAAACGAATGCATGTTATGGTATTATGAGGTGTTTACTGTGGCATAGATGATATCTAGCTAACCTCAGGGTAGTCTGGATCATGTACTAGCTTAGGGGATGTGGGATTCTCGCTGAAGTAGACATGGGTCTTAAAAAGGGATTGATCTTGGTTGGTTAGGTTAGATGATCATAGCCGTTTGATATATATGTTATGTCTATTGTGAATTAATTGTGTGGGATGTTGAATCTGATAGTATGAATGCGTGATTCGTACTGACCAGGTGTTACGGGATGACCGTACTCACTAAGTATTTATGAAATACTTATGCCTCTCTTCTTGAGTGTGCAGGTACTAAGCAGTAAAGGGGGCGAGACCAGGCGGCAGTGATGGATATGGATGGATCGGGGATTGGTTCTTATTTATGTTTAAGACGTTGTGCTTTGTCTTATGGCTTTGGTGTTTGACCGTTAGGTTGCTAGATGATCGTTTGTATTCGTTAGCGAACTATGGTGTTTTGTTTATGATAACCCCGAATCTTGTTAAGTGATTTTTATGCAAGTTAAATGAATGAAATGAGTTGTTTTTATAATCCGCTGTGTATTGATAAGTTTAAAGAAAAAGTTAAAAATATGGCTAAGTATAGAAAAACGGACTTAGAGGATGTAGTGGGACACAGCTGCAGTATAGTTGCCGGGTTGGGTTACCACATCTCCCTTGATGGTTATGAGGTTCCTTATGCTCTCAAGAATGTTTCTCAAACCCTTGCACAAGAAAATCATCTCCTCATCAAGCACATTGTTGTTCTCATTCCTCTCAAAAAAGGTGTTTTTAATCACTTTGTGTGCATATCTGATGGCTGGATGGCGAATGTGAGCCCCCTTGCACTGGCCAGACTTGTACTCCCCCACACTAATCTTATCCCACACTCTTTTGTGTTCACCCTTAGCAACCTCCATTTGTGTGCTCCTTGTTCTCCCAGCTCTAAACCCAAAGAATTCATTCAATTGGTTGAACCTCATGTGGTAGATGGTTCTTCCCACTTTGAATTTGGTGTAGCCATCCCCAAAAAAATGGTTGCCCTCATCACCTTCTTTATAAAAACACACCTCAAGTGATGAGATGAATTCGCAAGTGGCAGCTTTGTGAGAAGGGTATACCATAGTGAAGAACTTCTCTAGCCCCATATCCTTGAAGAGCAACTAAACTTCTCCCAAGATCCCAGTGTAGCTCAACAGCTCCACATCAGCATATCTTGTTCTACTGAATGCCATCCCCATTGCCTTCTTGTAGAGCTCATCAGCTGTGAGGTTAGGAATCTCCTTTGAAGCCTTCTTTTGCTTCTCTTTCTCAGCCCTTTTTCCTTTGTTCTGCTTGGACCTTCTATCATCCTGTCCCTCTTAATCAGAGCTACTATCATGAAGCGCAGGCCTCTGTCCTTACCTAGCAGCGCTTGCTCTTGCTGCTGCAGTCTTGTTTCTTGTGGTTCCTTCCTTTGATCTCGTGTCCTACAAGAGAAGACACACTCACATGACAACAAGTATAGTGTAGAAAACTTGAAAGCAATCATTTTCTTGTTTATGCAATCTATATTTATCATTAAACAAGCTAAGATTGCAAGAAACTAGAGAGCACGAACAAAGCCAACCAAAAAATCACATTAGCCAAGATTTTCGAACTTTGCCAAAAATTAGAAATTTTCAATGTGTACAAAGCTGTGATTTATCATTTAAAAACAATCAAGCAAGGTGATAGAATCCTAATGGAATTGAAAGCACCAAAATCTAGCAAGTTTCAAGAGAGTATTGCAATATTCTGACTCACTATTCACCAGGAACACAAAGTTGCCAAAAAATCATACTTTCACCATTAAAATTCATCACTAGCATTCATAATCACCATACTAACACTCAATGATCAATGCTCATTCAACATGCATTCCAATTCCATACGCTAGCGAAGATTTCAAAAAATTTCCACCATTGAAGGTGGTGGAAAAAATCTAGAATTTCATAGACATACCTTTGCTTGCGGAATGAAAGATGGTTGGAAATAAACACTGAATCAGATGGAGTACGTTGAACCGAGTTGTTTGAGTTTTGAATCGAATAATTTGGTCTAGAATTGAGAGAGAGATATAGGAGGAGGCGTGAATGAAGAAAAAGAAGATAAAAAAAAAATTTCAGGATTTTTGAAGGATATAGGAAGTGGGGAGCTCGGTTCAACGGTCCAAGGAAGAGTTAACTTACCTGGATTTGGTCACACTGGGTGAGGAAGCCGAGCTAACTTTGAGATTTCTCAGGCTGGATCATCCCGAGGAGGTGAAGCCGGTGCAGGTCCCCGGGGCAACTCCTCATTTTTTCTGCCCAACTCGCTCCGACGAGGTGATGCCAGGGTGACTGCCCATGCCAACCTTAAATTTTCTCGGATCTCCTCAATAAATAATACTTCAAACATAATTTTTCATCTTAGCAAAGATTTCTTTGTATTTTTTTTAAGCAAAAATACCATTATGAGGTTTTTGCGTTTTTCTGCAGTTTTTTTTAGTGGCAAAATATTTGCAGAATCGTGTTTCAAATACGATTCTTCTGTTCTGCAGTGTTATTTGTGGAATTAATATTATATTACTTCATATCATAAACAGATCCAATGAAATCATGTAGAATTTAAGACTCAATGAAATTCCACAAAATTGTTATCAGTTACAAGGAAAGAAAATAAAAAATAATTCCACTTATTCTTGTCATTCCATACAAAAAATAATTTTTTTGAAAAATTATTCCACTTCAAAAATGATAAGGAATAATAGAATTCCATTTTCATTTCATTCCATATATTTTTATTCCACATAACTTTATTCCTTATATTCCAGTTTTATTTATATACTCACCTTTTCATAGGGAAGAGGAAAGAGTCTTCAGAAGTTATACTATTCATTAAACATACGCAGTGTACCGAATACTACTACAATAATAGCCTCTAGAGTTAAGCAAATTTATGTTTCTTGTTTAGTATAGTCTCCGGACTATTTGTTATGTTAACTCACTTTTTCGTAGAAAAGAGAAATGAGTCAACAAAAGTTATTCATTAACTTCATTTACAAATGAAACAAAAGTTAGTAGGAGTATTCATTGACTTAACTTCCCAAAAATAAATAAAATTACAACTGTATTAAATTTACGCAACTTTCCACAATGATTTTTACACCCGGACGTCATTATATATAAGATCATCCTGTTTCTCTTTTCTCTTCATTGTAAACTTCATTTTCAACCTTTATTCCCTAGTCATCCTCTTCACTCGCAATCTGATTTTTGGTTTCCGAAAGGTTTTTCTCATCTCTTATTTCCCCCCTTCTCACATATAATCATTACCATCTAAACTTTTTTTCTTATTTTGTAAGCAGGTTATCATGGCTAACCTCGCTTCCAGGAATCTCCACCGGGCTCTCAACGAAAGTCAGAAGAAATTTTCCCAATTTTTCTCAGCAGGTATTTTCCCACTTTTTGTATTAGTTGAGACGGAACACAAATAAAACTGTATTAATGGACAAACTTTAGAACTTACTCATTTTTAATTTTTAGTACACATTCAATTATTGTAGTTATACAAACATAGATTTCAATTCTCTATCAAATTGTGTGCTCATATAAGACGACGTTAAATATACATAGCATAATTATGGTTTTACAGTCTATAAGCAATTTAGAACATTGGTTGTTGTTAACCATGATATATCTTCAATAGACTTCTAAGGACTTTATAAGTATTTGTAATTTCTCGGAATCGGCGTTTTGTCTTCGGATTTCTGCTATTCAGCTTCAACGTATGCCTAGCTTTTTGGTTTTGTCAATTTATTCTTTTATCCGTATATAATATGTACGATTGTTTTAGTTTTCGGTCTTTGTGCTATCTTAGTTATCTTTGTAGCTTCTATCAAAACTCTAAGATGGTACAAAATTTAACATTTTACCCTGAAAACAAAAGTATTTGTAATTTGCAATTATAGTGATATGATGTGCATGTTTTTTAGATACAGTGAACAATGATATTTTCCATTGGGAAGCCACTATCAAAGGACCTTGGGATAGTCCATATCTTGGGGGAACTTTTGTCGTGACCCTCCGGTTTCCTCTTGAATATACGATGAAACCCCTGAAGGTTAAATTTCCATACTAACTTTTCTGTTACCACGCAAATTTTTAGGTTATTACTTTAAATTTACGTTTTATCAAATTATCAGGTCAGCTTCAAGACAGGTGTTTCACCCAAACATCTCTGAGAAAGGGTTCGTCTATCTTGATATGCTGAAGGATAACTGGAGTCCTAGTTTTACCATACTCGATGTATGACTCATCAATCTCTATTTATCACCATACCAAAACATTGTACATTCAAATACATCTACTAACGTAACTCTTTTATTTTGTGGAATTAGGTGCTCATGACTCTTTGGAGAATGATCCTTACCCCGAGAGTGCAGAACTACACCTTACCCCGAGAGTTCAGAACTACAATATGTTTGATGATAATATCACTCAATTGTACATCTCTGACAAGACACAATACGACCTCAATGCTCGTACATGGACTCGTTCATTTGCCATGGAGTAATGAGAACTTTTTCCCATTTTGTTATAAGATTTTGTGGAATGGACACCCTTTTGTCTTTTATAATTTCATTTTTCGTTTCCCATGGAGTAAAAGTGAACACATGTTCTCCTTTAATAACAATATATCTATCTATTTATTCTAATAAAGTATGATTTTCTTTCAGAAACAGATCTATTATGCTGCCACGTGACATGTAAAAAACTAACATGTGTCATATTTTTGTTTTTAACTATTTTTACTGAATTCTCTTTAATCAAACAAACGCAAAAACAAAGGTTCAGTTTTTTTTTCCTTTCTCCAAACAATTTTCTTTCATCCAACAAACATAAACAAAATTCAAATCAGTCAAACAAATATATATATCTACCTATTTATTTATTTTATTAAAGTAAAGTTTCTTTCAGAAGCAACTCTGCTCTAGTGCCACGTGACATGTAAAAAACTGACATGTGTCATTTTTTTACTGATTTCTCTTTCATAAAACACAAAAACAAAGCTTTAGTTTTTTTTTCTTTTTCTCCAAACGATTTTCTTTCATCCAACAAACAGAAACAAAAATCAAATCACTCAAACAAATTTATTATAAAATATTGTTAATTTTTTTTCCTATTTCTACAAGATTCTTTTTCATCAAACTAAAAAAAAACAAAAACTTCATTTTTTTCTCTTATCCAAACGATTCTCTTTCACCCAACAAACATAAACAAAAATCAAACCACTCAAAGAAGTACAAATCGTATATAATATAGTGACACCATCTGTCAAGTTTTTCTCTTTTTTTAATTTTCCTATCTCTTTTGTATTCTCTTTTATCAACAAAATACAAAACAAAATGTTTTGGGTTTCTTCTCTTTTCTCTACTAGATTCTCTTTCATTATATCTGATACTTTACATTATTTTATATTTTTCAAACAACTTTTAAGAGATCCCTGTGTCATTTTTTCTGTCCAGAAAACATATTTATTTCTTCATGTTTTCTTTGTGGCCAATTACACAAGATATCATGCACTATTTTGTTTTATGAAATATGTTTACATTAATGGCTCACTACTTCCTTCTCTACAGCATCAAACATCAAACTGTCACCACTATCACAATATGGATTATACTCTTGAGGACTTTCTTTTTCGGTCATCTTTGATGGCAGCTTCAATCTCCTAACCGGGCAATCCAGTTTCCTGAATTCTTATTTAATCGGTATCATTTTATATTATGTTTATCAATTTATTTTATATAATATTTTTATAAATTATCAGCTTGCCAAATTGTAGTATTTACGTTCTTATAATCTTAATTCTGTAGATTTTCATTTATGTTTATTGCAGTAACGAATACTGATAATTTTGTGAAATATTTTTGTTTTTAGAACAGTAATCTGGATCTTCAATCTGTATCCGATCAATTATTTGATTATTTTCAGAGAACAGGAATTCATCCAAAAATTATGTTCATCTTTGAATAATTCACCTGCAGATTAATTATCCTCTTGCAAGAGTTATGGAATTTGGTTATATCGTTCGGCATAACTCTATTGTTAATATGCATGAATCTCTTTTAATTATTATTTCTGATTGCTTACGTTTAAATTGTAGTATTTTACTCTGAGTTTCTATAGAAATTAGTTGGTGATTGCAATTTTTCAAGTTTATCAGTTTTAATTTTTTCTGTTTTCAATTCATGAACTTGTTTTTGGAAATAGAGGTAATTAAGAGAAAAAGAAAAAAGAAAAACACGTTTTGAATTTTGACTTGATTTTGTTTCACAAAGATTTATTCAAAACGTGGCTTGACTTTGTTTATGTAATGTGATTTTTGAACATTGTCATAAACGTTAGTCAAAGCTTGATTTTTGGTTTCATGTAGTTGAATCATTTTAAAAACTTGTGTTTAATGCTGAATTATGGTTAAATATTCAGCAAATTTAATCGCATAGCTTCACTTTTGTCTTTGCATTTATTTAAATTAAATTGTTAAATTTCTAAATTAGTTATTTATTTTAGAAACTTTAATTTAATTATTTATAACAATTTATTCAGTATTGTTTAATATTAATTCATTGAACTTCTGAATTTTATTGTAGTATATTAATTTGATTTTAGTTCTTTTGAACATATTTAGTTTTAAGTATGACTATCACTAAATGGTGGTCTAAGCTAAAAAGTATAATTTAATATATATTTCTGATTTGCTTTTCAAAACAGCCTAAAAGAGTTGAAGATTTATTACATAATCTACTGACGAATAATGTCACTTGAACCGGTGGCTAGGGTTTTTAGGCGATCTCAAGAGTGATTTCTAGATCTGAAAAAACTCATCCCAAAACACAGTCAAAAGGTAAGGTTTCTCATCTCCATAAGCGTAATGTGGCAGAACCGACTGGCGTTGGACTAGGTGATAGCAGTTTTAATCCCCGTCATAGAACAGTTGTTACTTTCGTTACACTAGATCTCACGTCCCTTACGTTAGAGTATCGAAAAGTTAGCTCTTGGTATCAGAAGTGTTTACAGATTATTAAGACGAAGCCCTCAGAGCGCTAGACGTCCGGCATAAGTCAATTCTATCAACCAGAACCAGAAGACTTTGTTTTCTCCTATAATAGAGTGTATCATCGAGATCTCTCCGGATTTCAACAATGGTCTTTGGAGTTGATGACTATAGACTAAGCGGGAACACCAGCAGGGTCAGGAGAAGATTGGCAGAGGAAGATGACATTATCGAGATCCCTGAGTTTGACTTTTCGGATCTGGTTGAACAATTCAAATTAACTTTGATGTTCCGTGCTGAAGGTAGAAAAAGCATTGATGCTCTGTTATCATTGATGCCTAAAGCGAGAATCTGGAATGTGAAGGGGAGAGTTCATGGGACAAACCTGGACAATGGAAAATTCCAATTCGACTTCAACAATGAAGAAGACCTGCAGAGAGTCCTCAACCAAAGACCCTGTCACTTTAATCATTGGAGCTTCTCGCTGGAAAGATGGCAACCAACAGTCAATGAAGATTTCCCTAACACAATGCGCATCTGGGTCAAGATATCAGGGCTACCGATTCATTACAAAAAAGAGACGGCATTCAGAGCAATAGGCGCAAAACTGGGAGAAGTTATCCAAGTTAACGAAAAAGGCTCAAGAGTGCAGATATCTCTCAATGGTGATAAACCTCTGCAATTTGAGAGAAGAGCTGGATTCAAAAACGGAGATATTAGTAAAGTAACCATGAAGTACGAAGATCTCTACAGATGGTGCTATACGTGCAAGAGAATATCACATGAGGAAGGTAGTTGCCCGAATCTCACTGAAGAATAACGGGAACGGAATAGGCTGGCAAGGATTGAACAGAAAGAACAAGAAGAAAAAGCTGCAAGGGAGATGTTTCCATACAATGAGAACCGGGGAATCGAAAGAGCAAGAACTACAAAAGGACCAGAGATTTCAGGAGACCAAGGGGGATACAGACCTTTAAGAGTTCATTCGGAAAGCAGAGACCTACGCACAGCTATCCAAAATAAAAGAGATAATCGAGGCAAGGAAGTGTGGAACAGTCTGGAAGAAAAACAGTATGAGAATTTTCCCCGGAATCGGGAGCGACATCATCCATACTCAAGATATGCATATGAGACAAACAGGAGACAAATTGATAGATATCCTCCGAGAGTGGAGTGGAGACCATGGTCCTCGACAGTCAAGCAACCGGAGAGAGAGAAAGAAAAAAACAGAGTGTCCCCCATATCAAGGAGTAACAGAGAGACGACCTTAAATGGATACTCTAGCGTAGATTCTCAACGCAAAATATCGGAGGTCCAGGAAACTTAAGGACGCAGATCAGCCCAAAGAATGGGGCTGCTGGTTAGACACGATGGAGAAACAGAGGAAGACCGGATCAGAAGAATCAAAGGGAAAGCACTGATGACAGAGACCTCGAGATCAAACGACTTCCCAATGGATCAAAGAAAGACCCAAAACCACAATCAGTCAAGTGAGCAACAGGAAGCAATGCAATCTATCCTCCAAATGGAGAGAAACAGTAAAGCGGTTGTTATTAGAGAACCCGAAGACCAAACGAAGAGGTCAAAGGTCCAAGATAAACAAAGCAGAGATAAGGGCGAGAATAACGTTAGAAAAGAGAATGATAATATTAGCTTTGTAGCCAAAAGTGCAGCAGACCTGGAATTCGATAGAAGAATGCAGGAGGAACTGAGACAAATGGAACTAAACGGGGAGGATATTATGGATGAAGAAATGATAGACAACGATGATCTGTTGGATGACGAACTCAAGCCTTTAGGGGAAAAGATAGATGCAATCTCCTAACTAGAAGAAGAACAAATCAAAAGGGACCTGAGTTCAGAGCCGTCTATGCTTGAAATAGTCCCAGAAACACAGTTCATAGGAGTTTCGCGAAAACAGAGGGAGATCGGGAGCGTGGACAGAAAAGACAGAAAAGAAACGGAAGATCTCCCTTAGAAGAGAACAGCGAGAGGGCCTGTTAGAGGAGGATCCCCGATTGTAAAAAAGTTTCATGCTATACGTACGACACCGTCCCCCAAAAAGAAGTCAATTGGAATCCCCTCTCAAGTAATAACAAGACTTTGCAACTCCCTCATATGGAGGTGATCCCTTTGGCTTTAGGGAAGAAGAAATCTGCTGCTTTAGATTCGGTGGTGTTCCAGAAACCATCCAGTAAGAGGATATGAATACAATAGCCTGGAATTGCCAAGGAGCGGGAGCGGAACTAACAAAACAACATCTTAGAGAACTCCATCGCTGCTTTCGGCCAGAGCTTCTTTTCTTTTCCGAGACTAAAAACTTATTTTCTTTTATGCAAGACTTACAAGTTTCTTTAAATTATGATAATTTGTTCACCATTGACCCTGTTGGGAGAAGCGGAGGACTCGCTTTGTTTTATATGAATTATTTTTTGGTTAAGATTTTGTTTTCTAGCAATAGGATGATAGATATTGAAGCCAGGATTGAAGGAAATCAAGTGTTTATGATATTTTTGTATGGTGATCCGATCATTGAGCACCGAGAGGCGGTCTGGGAACGTCTTACTAGAATCAGCCTTCGACGCGCAGGCTCATGGTTCATGATAGGCGACTTCAACGAGATAACAGGAAACCATAAAAAGAAAGGTGG